CTTAGTATTATGTATATACTTCTGCTATATGTTTTTTTCTCAATATGTTTGATTAAGAAAATTTACAACAGTATTTTTTTGTTGCTGGAGGTAAAGATGATTGATTGGCTGATGACATTCTGAAATGTCATATTTGCCTTATGATCACCAACCTGTCAATTATTAAATAATGATTAACACCAGCCCTGTCAGTTTTGAAATTATGATCATCAAGAACCTATCAGTTGTCCAATCAGCAAATTAGGATAACTATCAAATACCTATCATTGGTCATTACTAACTTGTCAAGTAGTGACAAAGTGCAGTATGAGGCAATGTTGCTATCACCTTTTTTATTCAGATATTCATTGTAAAATCACGTTCCTTGTTTAAGAGATAGCAAAGAAATTTTCTGTTAATAGGTCGTAACTTGTAAGGTGACAAATTGATTCATTCTGAGTAGATCTTTTTACCGTTGTCATTGTTCTGCAATGATAGTGATGATAATGGTATTGATGATGCTTGTGAAATATTTTGATAGCTTACTTTATTTATAGTTATTAATAATATGGAAATATTTTTGTATTTGAGCATAATATGATAGAACCCTTGACTTTTTTTTTCTTTGAACTAAAAGTCATCCAGCAACTTAACAAAGCAGTTAATTGATATGTTAAAAAGTGTATTATTAAAAGCTGTTGTTAAGTATTTAGGTGATGAGTGGAGAAAGCATTGGTAGCTTCTTTAGTTTTTTTATTTTTAGCATATATTTTTTTCTTTCTTCTGCTTCTTTTTCTTAATGTTTTTTTTTTTTTTTTTTTTTTTTTTTTTTTTTTTTTTTTTTTTTTGCTGAATTTGAGATGATATTCACTTCACCAAGAACTTTAAAATTTCCAATGAGTATAGGTATTAGGAGAGTAATGAGCATTTTTTTTGTTTATAGGATTTTGAAAAGCATGAATAAGAAGATAAGAAATATGATTTTATAAATGTTTGGATTATGTACATCTGCATGACAAATTCTGTAGATATTTGAATTATTTCAGATATAGCTAGCTATTACTGCTGTAGTGTATCCAGTATTAGTATTTATAACAAGAAGGAAATGTATGCAAAATCAAACCCATAATGAAAGCATTTCAAATTTGTACACAAGATTTTATGAAGATTTGTTGGAACTAAATATAAAAGATATTATTTTGTGTTCATATTATAAATGGATAACAGTTGCATATTAAAATGTAACGTTATGATATTTAAGAATCTTTTATCTCGTATCAAATATACCAAACTTGTAATAGTTTAAAGATATTGACAGTGTAATAGTTTTCCCTCTTATCTTTTTCTTATCAGAATCTAACAACCATTTTTTGTCATCTTTTGGTATGTAATTTTTGTAATGGAATTTTTATCTTATTTTTTATTTTATTTTATTTTATTTTCCTTTTGTTTCTTCTCATCTTCTCCTCTTCTTCATTTTCTTAATTTTCTTCATTTTCTTCTTCTTTCCTTTCTTTCTTTCTTTTCTTTGTGACAGGAATAATAGAACATTATCAGGGGAAGGTTCCAGAAGATTTCTTTAGTCTTAGTATTATTATATTCATGAAAGGTATTATTATTGGCATTATTATTTCTTTAATGTTAGAAATAATTGTAATAGAAAGATGACTAAAGACTTAGGAAATTCAATAAATTTGGTTAAAGTGATGATATCAAAAAATTATTCATTCATGTTTAAGCACTTGTGAAGCAGTCTCGGTGTACGTAAAATTGATGAACTAAAATCACATTGGACAAGGCCCATGGGGGTTGCGCTCCTGGGATTAAATGATTGATATCAGTGGAAGGTGCTGGAAATTCTTCATTATTCAAAATTAGTTAAGGATTTAATCCACAGTTATTGAAACATGTGTTAACTTCATCCCTGACAGAAAATATGGATATGTTTTCATGGCAGAAAATATAGATACGCTTTTCTGTTTTATTATTTTATTTTGGAAAAGTTTTGGAATTATATTTTGGTAATTTTTGTAATGGCATTAGTTTTGCAAAGATTCTCTCCCCCATATAATTTTTTTTCAATCAATCCACTGCAGATGTGAAACCCTTGGAGTACAGATGACCAGCTTGCAGGAGCAGCTTGCGAAAGCAGAATCCGCCCTCACCCAGATGACCGACGAGAGAGACAAAGCCCAGATAGCTCTCAAGCGCTTGACGGATGAAGTTAAGGCTAAGGAAGAGCAGTGGACTGCAGAGTCTCAGGTAAGATGGGAGATTCATCTCGTATTGGGAGATGACTCATTATCGTATGTCGTTTTTGTGTGTATGTTTGCGTATATTTGACACACTTTTATTTTTTTGATTTTCACAAATGAGTTTATCTTGCATTCTGTTTGAAGGGATTTTAGATTGTATGTTAGAATGTGTGGATTGTGCACGTTTTTGTAGATAAAGAGATTTTTCATCATTCTTTCCAACTTCCTGATTTGAGATTCAGTTTTCTAACTTCCATGAATTGTGATAAGGATAGAGGCTCCCCCAAAAAATCTATAAAAGTATATATTTTGATGTCAGAAGAAATATAGAAATTATCAGGTCTCTTTTTAATCTCTCTCTCTCTCTCTCTCTCTCTCTCTCTCTCTCTCTCTCTCTCTCTCTCTCTCTCTCTCTCTCTCTCTCTCTCTCTCTCTCTCTCTCTCTCTCTCTCTCTCTCTCTCTCTCTCTCTCTCTCTCCCTCCTTCTCCCTCCTCTCCTCCTTCTCACCCTCTCCCTCTCTCTCACCCTCTCCCTCCCTCTCACCCTCTCCCTCCCTCTCACCCTCTCCCTCTCTCTCACCCTCTCCTCCCCTCTCACCCCTCTCCTCCCTCTCACCCTCTCACTCTCTCTCACCCTCTCACTCTCTCTCTCTCTCTCTCTCTCTCTCTCTCTCTCTCTCTCTTCTCTCTCTCTCTCTCTCTCTCTCTCTCTCTCTCTCTCTCTCTCTCTCTCTCTCTTCTCTCTCTCTCTCTCTCTCTCTCTCTCTCTCTCTCTCTCTCTCTCTCTCTCTCTCTCTCTCTCTCTCTCTCTCTCTCTCTCTCTCTCTCTCTCTCTCTCTCTCTCTCTCTCTCTCCTCTCTAGTGCTCTCTAGTGCTCTCTCTCTCTCTCTCTCTTTGCTCTCACTTTATCTTAGACTGGTGTTTTATTTGTGGAAATAGCCTTGCTATTATTTTTCACTGTTCTCTGGAAAAAAAAAAAATATATTGTGATATATGTACAGAGTTTACTCTTTTTGAAATTAAGAGGAATATCATTGCTTTGATGTGTCACTCATTCTGATGTATCCTCCTTACATGACATCGCCACAGATAGCTCAGGTAATCAAAATTTCTTAATTAAGCTTAATGTATTTTAGTGCTCAGCAAACACTACTCAGCAACATGTTGACTGCTGCAAGTTCCATGGTATTGATTATGGCTTGTGAATCTCTGTCAGTGTTTGTGCTTTGGTGAACGTCCTGTGTTGTGTTTGTATATATTTTTCTCTCGTTGTACTAATGTTCCGAATGTACAGATATGACAGCAGTACAATGTATATGATATTAGGTAAACATCCAGCTGTTTTGATTTTAGGATGCCTTTTAAATTATTTGTTTTATATATACAATTCAGAATATGCTTGATTTTTAGTACTTCATAATCAGTGTTTAGATAATGTGACTAAATTGATCTTTTAAAAGCTTTTTTAATGATATTAAAAGATGGATTCATTCATTATCGAAGAAGGAAGAAGGAAAGATTTATATATTGCAAATCCTGGTCACTTTTGCTTTTTTTTCTTTTCTTTTTTTTAAGTTTATGTGATATACTTTGCCTTGATGTATTGAAGTATATTTTAATGTAGTTGAGATTAATTTTCTGAGAGAGCCTCTGTTTCATTGTAATCCTTTTTATAAGGTAATGATTTCAATGTTTTTTAGAGGTTAGTGTTTTGAAGATTTTTAAAAAATTCTATGGGATTCTACCATATATCTGTTTAAGCTAATAATAATAGTCTGATGATATAAAAAACTACCTAATTCAGTAGCATGAAGTAAGCTCAGTAGTTATACATAGGAAATTCCACCTGCTTTGCATGTACACCCAAACCTTAATTACATGTTCTTAGGAAAGGTAAGTGGATTTATTTATATAATTTTATATATTGCCACTTTTATGAAGCAGAATTATGTACATATTCACCATTTCAGGTAAGTGACAACCTGATATTTTGTACTTTCTTATGAACCCCACTTTTTACAATTGGTAATATACATATTGAGTGGTGAATGTGAGGAGACAGTGAAAGCTAGAACATGACGGTGATATTTATCATAGTTATTATCTGTCTTCGTTTGGTCTATTTTTGGCAGGATTGAAAGAGCAAGAAAACAGGGCATAAACAAATTGGGACAGGGAAGGGGACGGTAAAAATTTAAAATGAAGTAGAAATATGAAATAAAATAAAACATGAAATGGAGTAAGAAACATGAAGAATGAAGGTTTCAAGTGAGTAATGACAAGCATGAATGGATAGAGGGGAATAAGAGTATTGAGAAAGTTAAAGCATGGGTGATGTTATAGAAATAGTGAGAGAGTAAGGAGGAGGAAAGATTATGAGAGAATGCAAATTAGTGATAGAAGTAGGAGATGCACACAAACATGTTAACATGCATACACACACATGTACATGCACTCATACACATACACAACAATGCACAAGCACACACACACACACACACAAGCACACACAAGTACACACACACACAGGCACACACACACACAGGCACATACACACACAGGCACACACACACACACACCAGCAACACACACACACACCAGCACACACACACAAGCACACACACACAACACACACACACAGCACAACACACAAACAAAGCACACACACAAACAAGCACACATACACACAAGCACACACACACATATATGTGTACTTAAATACATATTCTTATATAACAAACACACATACAGCGAGTTGAATAAGGAAATTAGGGAAGAAGGAAAGGGAAAAAGAGCGACAGCGGCAATGAAAGAAATAGAAAAATGTGATTGAGTGATTTTATCTCATTGGTGCTTTAGACCAATCAACAGCTTTGAGTCATGATGAGTGAGTGAGAGAGAGAGAGAGAGAGAGAGAGAGAGAGAGAGGGAGAGAGACAGAGAGACAGAGAGAGAGAGAGACAGACAGACAGACAGACAGAGAGAGAGAGAGAGACAGACAGACAGAACAGACAGACAGAAGAGAGAGAGAGATTGAAGAGAAAAAGGATAAAAAAATTTAGGAAGACAAAGCATGAGTGAAGAGAGAGTAGAAAGAACAAAAGAGTTAAGAAAAACTTTTAAAAAAGTAAAATATAGAAGAGAATTAGAAAATGGGAAAAAGTTCATAAATCAGATTGACAATATAAAAAGTCTAAACTCCTATAGAATATAAAGAAAGTCTGTGAGGTAGTTGGTAATATAAAAATTCGCCGAGAAAGCTGATAGTACATCAGAATTTGAAAGTTGTTAATAAAAACACGTGAAAGATAATGAAGAATAATCAGGAGACTGGGAAAATGAGAGAAAAAAGTGCGATTCTTGTGGAAATTTGGGAGGAAGGGACAAACAGAGCGATTTGAAATATATACAGAGAGAGAGAGAGAGAGGAGAGAGAGAGAGAGCCGAGAGAGAGAGAGACCGAGAGAGAGAGAGAGAGAGAGAGAGAGAGAGAGAGAGAGATGAAAGAAAGAAAGTGTGTTCTGTCAATGAGTAAGTGACAGACAGATAGATGATAATGCATAAAAAAATGTATTTGTGTGAGAGAAAGGTGGAGAGAGACAGGCAGCCAAATGAGAATGCATAGAAAATGTGTGTGTGAAAGAGAGAGGGAGAGAAAGAGAGAGAGAGAGAGATAGATGATAATGCATTGAAGGTTGTGAGTGAGTGAGTGAATAAGAGAGAAAGAGAATGAGAATGCATAGAAAGTGTGTGAGTGAGTGAATGAATAAGAGAGTTAGAGACAGAAACAGAAACAGAGAGAATGAGAGAGATCACGATCAAGAGAGGAACGGAGGGAAGGGACAAGAAAAAAAATGATACCAGTAATGCACAACCGAAGCAAATAGAGATCGTGAGGCGTGCCAGCATGGATCAGTCATAGCATACTAGAATTAACGTCTAGGTTGATCTACATGTGTCATGCGGACTCTCTCTCTTGTCATATCTTGTCATATCGGCGGTGGGATTGCATGCCTCCAAGATTACACTACGGGACAACTACATCCAATCTTCTAGCGGGTTTTGTTTTTTTGGTTTTGTGTTTTTTATTGGCCTTTTTTTTTGTTTAGTGTGTCATTGTTTTCGAGTCGCCCTGCGTACATTGCATGACGGGACACATTAGACGTAATGGATAGATTGACTTCGTCCCCCTCCTCCACCCTCCTCTTCCTCTTCTTCTTCTTCTTCTTCCTCCGCCTCCTCCTCTCCTTCTTCTTTTTTCTTCACCTCCTCCCCTCTCCCCCTTCCCCTTCCCCTTCCCCTTCCCCTTCCCTCCTTCCATTCCCCTCCCCCTCCCTCCTCCCTTTCTCCTCCCCCTTTCCTCTTCCCTCTCCCATCTCCTTCCCTCTCCCATCTCCTCCCTCCCTTCCCCACTGCTGGGAATGACAGTCTCTCGAAGGCTGTGATTAGTCGAGTGGCAGTAATCGCTCCCCGTTGCTTACAATTCTCCTTCGCATGTGACAGGAAGAGGGAGTGGGAGGGAGGGGGGAAGGGGGGAGGGGGAGGGAGGGGAGGAGGGAGGGTTGGTTGGTTGTAGGAAGGGAAGGAGAGGGAGGAATGAAGGGAGAGGAGGGACTGAGGGAGGGATGGTTGGAGGAAAAGAGGGGAGGAGGAGGGAGGGGGAGGTGGGGAGAAGTTGATGGAGTTTGACAGACGGAGAGGGAGAAGGGAGGAGGACGGAGGAGCGCGTGCGACCGAGGGAGGCGCGTGCGGGGCCCCTCCTGATGGCCGGGAAATGATGACCGGGTAGCGAGGTCATCACGGGTAGTTCCTCGCGTTCGACTTTTATGCGAATCTCCGTGATTTACTTGTCATCTCTTCCTGACGGGGAGGTTGTGTGACAAATTGCTGATGGGATCCTGAGTCTCCCGAGGACCCGATGGGCGGCTGGCGTGGGTCGGGGGAGGCAGGGAATGGGCGGTTTGCCGTGGCTTGAAGGGGCGGTTCGCTCTTTGGCTTCGCTTGGAG